GTATGTTTTTGGGTTTGAGGTGCATCTCTTGTAAGCAGCATATAGATGGATCTTGCTTTTTTATCCATTCTCTTACTCTGTGTCTTTTGATTGGTGCATTCTGTCCATTTACATTTAGGGTGATTAGTGAAAGATATGTACTTATTGCCATTTCAGGCTTTAGATTCATGGTTACCAAAAGTTCCAGGTTAGCTTCTTTAGTATCTTACTGCCTAACTTAACTCACTTATTGAGCTATTATAGACACTGTCTGGTGATTATTTATTTCATTCCTTTCTTATTCCTCCTCCTCCATTCTTTATATGTTTGGTGTTTTATTCTGTGTTCTTTTGTGTTTCCTTTGATAGCTTTTGTGAGTAGTTGATTTTGTTTTTTGCCTTTAGTTAGTATTTGGTTGATCTGCTTTCTTTGCTGTGATTTTTTCTCTGGTGACATCTATTTAGTCTTAGGAGTGCTTCCATCTAGAGCAGTCCCTCTAAAATACCCTGTACAGGTGGTTTGTGGGAGGCACATTCCCTTAACTTTTGCTTTTCTGGGAATTGTTTAATCCCACCTTCATATTTAAATGATAATCGTGCTGGATACAGTATCCTTGGTTCAAGGCCCTTCTGTTTCATTGCATTGAATATATATGCCATTCTCTTCTGGCCTGTAAGGTTTCTGTTAAGATGTGTGATGATAGCCTGATGGGTTTTCCTTTGTAGGTGACCTTTTTTCTCTCTCTGGCTGCCTTTAATACTCTGTCCTTGTCCTTGATCTTTGCCATTTTAATTATTATGTATCTTGGTGTTGTCCTCCTTGGGTCCCTTCTGTTTGGAGTTCTGTGTGCTTCCATGGTCTGAGGGACTATATCCTCCCCCAGTTCGGGGAAGTTTTCAGCAATTATTTCTTCAAAGACACTTTCTGTCCCTTTTTCTATCTCTTCCTCTTCTGGTACCTCTATAATGCAGATATTGTTCCGTTTGGATTGGTCACACAGTTCTCTTAATATTCTTTCATTCCTGGAGATCCTCTTGTCTCTCTCTGTCTCTGCTTCCTTGTCTTCCTGTTTTCTGATTTCTATTCCATTAATGGCCTCTTGCACTTGATCCAGTCTGCTCTTAATTTCTTTCAGAGATTGTTTTATTTCTGTATTCTCCCTCCCAACTTTATCCATTAGTTCTTGCATATTTCTCTGCAGGTACATCAGCATGGTTATGACCTTTATTTTGAATTCTTTTTCAGGAAGATTGGTTAAATCTATCTTCCCAGGCTCCTTCTCAGGGGTTGTCTAGGTTATTCTTGTCTGGATCAAATTCTTCTGCTTTTTCATGGTGATAGAGGTACTCATGGGCAGTTGGCGCATGTGTCAGCTTAGAGGACAAAGTCCCTTCCTGCTTGCTGGTTGCCTTCCTGTCCTGCAAGAACGGCGACCTCTACTGGCTTATGCTGGCCTGCTGTGTGCTAATGGGTCCTCTGAGTCTGGCCCAGGCGTCTGTGGAGGAGGCTCTGGGCAGTTGCTGTGGGCACAGCCACTCTCAGGCTGCTGCCCTGCTATGGTGGGGCCGCACCAGAGGTAGAATGGATGGGAGGCTGTTTACTGCTGTGAGGGGCCTCAGAGCTGCACTGCCTCCCAGAGGGTTAGGGCACCCCAAGTTCCTCAGGATTCCCAGCTGCTGAGCTGAGTGTGCCGTGACGCTTCCATCCAGCTGTGAGGCCCTTGTCCCTTTAAGACTTTCAGAAAGCATTTGCTTTTCTTTTGTACCAGGTGCGCTGGCTGCGGGGACCCGCTCACAGGTTTTAGTGTTCCGTTCCCTAATGTCCAGCACACCACACACTGTGTGTCTGTGCTCCCGGTGCAGATGACTAGGGCTGGGTATTTAGCAGTCCTGGACTCCCTTTCCCTCCCCACTCCAACTCCTTTCCTGCCACTGGGAGCTGGGGTGCAGGGAGTGCTTGGGTCCCACCAAGCTGCAGCTTGTATCTTACCCTCTTCGTGCGGTGGTGAGTTCTCACAGATGTAGATGTAGCCTGGCTTTTGTACTGTATTTTCTGATCTTTCTTTTAGGAATAGTTGTATTTGTTGTACTTTCAAAATTATATATGGTTTTGGGAGGAGATTTCCACTGCCCTACTCACGCTGCCATCTTGGCTCCTCCTTGCTTTCCTTAACTTTTAAATATACTTGTTTCTCTTGGCCTAAAAAAAATCTTTCACTTGGCCACAGAGCCATTCCTGATGTTCTTAAATACTGTGAAGATGCAGATACAGTGCATGGTACTGCTTCAGCTTGATTTCCTACTCAATCTTTAACCACTTGCCTAGCTTTTGCTCAATTACCCCAGCTAGCCAAAAGAAACTGCTCTTTCAGAAATGACCAGTGGGAATTGAGCCACTGAATCTCAAGGCCTTTGTTCAGTGTTCACCTTCTGCAGTCTAAGCTGCACAGGACAACATGAACATCCTATCCCTTTATGCAGCATTTTATCTCTTTCTTTGGCTTCCACAGAACTGATATTTCCCTCATGTCCCCTGAGTGCTTCCCCTTCTCAATTCCCCAATTTTTCTTCTAACCTTTATTCCAGGGATAAAGAGGGAAGCCCCTTTAGGGAAGAAAGTTTGAACTAACTCTTGAGTGAACCTAGGGTTTGGCAGATGGATGTGCAGGAAAAGGGCATTTAAGGTAGAAAGAAGAGTATATGAATGGTGAGCTGGAGAGCATGGCTAACTGGAGAGCTTCAAGCCACTTGGTATGTCCAGAGCTGCACAGTCCAATACAGTGGACATCAGCACATGTGGCTATTCAGTACTTGACATGTGGCTAGTCCAAACTGAGATGTGATGTTAGGCATAAAACACACACCAGATTTCAAAGACTTAGTACCAAAAAAGGAATGCAAAATCTCATTGATAATTATTTTCATTGATTACATATTGACATGATATTTTGGATATATTGCTTTAAATAAAATACATTGAAATTAATTTCATCTGTTTCTTCTTACTATTTTAATGTGGCTACTAGAAAACCTGAAATTATGTATGTAGCTCCCATTATGTATTTATTGGCTAGTGCCAGTCTAGAGCTAAAGCCAAATCAAGGGAACAGAAAAGACACAGGAGATTCTATAATTAATTGTCTTTCTCTTTTCTACTTCCACGAATTTCAATAAAACTAATCACCTAAGACCTAACTATCTCTCATCTAAGACCTATTTCTCCACCTAAGGCCACTTCAGTGGTCCTACTGATCCCTTCCTACAATCTTAGGCCTGTCATAACCTGTCCTAGATACTGTAACCATATTAATCTTTTTAAAGTACCTCATCCCTCCATTGCTAACCTATTTCTTTTTTCAGGGTCCCCCTGATCCTCCAAATTATGTGGTAGGATAGTCTGGCATTTCAAGGTTTTCCACTCTATAAGACAAATCTGCGTTTTCAGGATGATCTAGCACTGCTCCCTCTCATGCATTCAGATGTGCCTACCTGGGGACGTCACATAAGCACGGCTTTCATTTTTTTCACCTTAATGCCTTTGTTCATAACCTTCTCTGCTTTGAATATAATTTCCCAAATATCTGCTTATCAAAATATTATTAGATAATAATGGTATTCTGTTTATATTAAAAAAGAACATATTGGGGGTACTTTTGTTAGAGATATAAACTGAAGCACTTAGAGATGAAAACAATTTTAAAAAATCCTACTAGGACTTCAAGGTCTATCTCAAATACCTATTTCTTTGTGAAGCTGTTTCTAATCACCTAAACCTTCAACAAGCATGCAACATGTAGGTGTCATGTGATATATGTTACTCTAGTTACTCTAGGTGCTGGGTAAACTAGACAGTGAAATATTAGCCCGACCCTTATGAGTTCAGTCTCATGGGAGACAGCTACAGAAGCCAATAATTACCACGGAGTGTGATTTAGGCTACAACAGAGGTGAACACATGGTCCTGTGAGACCACTGACAAGTCCTAATCCAAGTTGGTGGGAAGCAGGGGGAAGCATCCTAAAAAGTGATGTGCAAAGGCCCTAAATGACTGTTCTTCCTCTGAACATCCAAGACAGTTTTTGCATCTAATTTTTGGTTATCCCATTCTGTCTTTGATACTGTCATACATGTATAGTTGGTACTCATTTATAAATTCCATGTTTCCAAATTCACTTATTATTAACATTCATCTGTAAAACAATACTCAGAGCAGTTTCTCGGTCATTCATGGGCATGTCCAGAGTGGTAAAAAACTTGAGTTTTCTGATGCATATGTTCCCAGCTCAGGCAGAATAAGGTGATGCTCTGTCTTGTTTCAGTTCTCATATGATAAACAAGTATCCTCATCACAGTCTATATAGTGCCACATTTTTCACATCTTTTGTTTTGCTAGTGATTTCACTCTTGAAAGTGGCCATGAAGCATAGTGCTAAACTGTTGTGTAGTGTTCCAAAGCACAAGAAGGCTGTAATGTGCCTTATGGAGAATACATGTGTTAGGCTTTGTTCAGGCCTGAGTTACAGTGCTCTTCACAGTGAGCAAAATGTTAATGCATCAATAGTGTATGTTAAATAAGGTGTTATTAAACAGAAACAAACTTAACACAGGTAATGTATTCATCAGTGGACAAAAATGTTATGACCAGAGGCTTACAAGAACCTAACTCTGCATTTCCTCTAGGAGCAATGGTTCAATATTCACTAAATTCAGTGTTTGTGACAGTATTATTTAACGTAACTACTGCAAACAATGAGAACCAATTGTACTTAAATTCCTCCCTCAAGGGAAACATATCTTAGTATCATTAGTGCATCAGTAGGCACTATTAAACATTTAAGTCTTAACTGGAAAGTCAATTAATTTTATTTTTTCTTATGTGTGAATGCCTTGACTTCAAAATTAAGTAGGGATCATACAGTTCAACAAAGGCTGGATACTAAAACAAAACACTTCATTTCATATTGCATTGACTTCTTTCTACAGCGTCACATGACTAACAGTGGCTTTCAGCAACATGCTTACCATTTTTATTCTTCAGATTAGGGTCTGCTCCACTTTTTAGAAGTTTTAAGGCACATTGCTTATGAGCCCGGTAAGCTGCACAATGCAACAGTGTGTTTCCTAACTGATCCGAGCAGTTAATATCCGGAGACTTGGGCCTGTTGAGCTAACAATTGAAAAAAATGCAGTGTTTAATTACATATCAAAATAGACTTTCTCCCATTAAACACATGATGGTACAAACGTTCAGCTGGACCTTCCCACTGAAGAGCCAGGCTGGCTGGCATCTGGGCCCTCAGCAGCTTCCTGCTCACCAAACCAGCCAACTCTCATCACTCTCCATGCTCATCCTCAAATGCAATTCAGTCTCAGGCTCTGCATGCCCCGACAACAGACGCCACCCATGACACCAGTGCCATCCCATCCCCTCCTGGACATGAGGATTTCATGACGATTTGCTCACTCCTATTGGTCTTGCAATTCACACTGGTGGCCACAAAATTACTAATCAGTCTACCATAGACGATCATTCAGAAGAGAAAACCCTAACTGTTAAATGTGTAGTGTTAAGGTTCTACAGAATTTGTTGTTCCTAATTTACTGCTTTAAAAACTTCTTTATCTAGTCTATATTTCACAAAGTTTAAAAAATGTTTTAGGCGCTGTACTTGGAAACCATAAACGCCTTTTCAAATCAGCTGAAATAACTTTAAAGCAAATGGCAATGCTTCAGTCTTGAATTTAGAACAAATTTAGAGTGTCATGTTTAATGAGACTATGTAAGAAATGGAAACTGGAAAGTAAGTCTCCTAAGAAGAAAATGTAAAGCTTTCACTCTGTTCTAAACATGATATAAATATTCCAAAATATTGTCCATTCTTTAGATGTTACTTTCTAGAAGTACAGCATACCTTTCAGAAGTACTAATCATCAAAATGAGAGAAATTTACTCTTTTATAGGATCTTGTATATTATGTTTCAATTTTAAATTGGCTTAAACTGAAAAAATAAAATGTTCTTTACATTAAGTAATACCTTGAAAAGCCTGATTTTTAATCCATCAAGTTTTCAGCAGGCAGTGGGGATGTGCATCAGAAATTCAGAGAAAAACATTATAATTTACAATATATCCTGCTTAACGTATTATCACATTAAGTGTTTTTAGATTTTTACAGATTTTTGATCATTCGTTACGATAGAGTACTTTGGTCACCATCCGACTAACTTATGATCTTAAGTAAAAAGTTTCTGGAATTATAAAGAAGTAGGCATGTTGTTGTTTTTACCAGACCTATGAGTTCTGCTGTTCTGCCTTCTCTTGCTGCTGCTAAAAATAATTCTTCAAGCTTTCTTTGTTGAGTCCTTTCTACATCTGCAGAAATAGCATACATATTACTCTACTTCTAGACAGGATCCTATTACTATAATCATTACAAAGATGTATAAAAAATATGGTTATCACCATAAGAGTCACAGTATTTTGAACTGTAATGTAAACATAGTTAGGCTTTATTGTTATTCTCATTGCCTTACATTTCAGATTAGAGTTCAACTTCTTTGAGGTTCAGCTGAACTTACATTTTCAATTCAGAGGTCTTTTAAGTACCTTACTCACTACAATACCCATCACAAATAATTCTAAATTACTATTGCATGCTGAGTTTACCTATCTGCCTTGGGAAGGCAGGTAAGTGGGTGGTGGCATTCATACACTTCTAGAACATTAGAATGTGAAAAGCAATAGTCAGAAATAGCACTGGTACAAAGATGTACAAACCATATAAATATAGATTTATATATACTTATATACTTCCACATAATATAAAGTTTAACAAATAGTAAAGCACTTATTATGTGCTAAGTTGTATTCAAAGCACTTTAAGAATACTAATTCATTAAATTCTAACTATTCTATAAAGTAATGTTCTATTACCCCATTTGTACAGATGAAGAAACTGAGGCACCAAGAGGTTAAGGAACTTAACCAACATCACACACCCAGGAAGTGGAGAAGCAGAGATTTGAACTTGGGCAGCTTGGTTCCAGAGTCCATGCTCTTATCACTACCATAACCTTCTTCTCTAACAGGGAAAGAGAGCAATTGGTAATATGATTTAAGAGACTGGAATATGTATTAAGGTCTTATTTTTGCTATTTGATTTCTGTTTTGGCTTACAGAAAAGAAGCAATTTCATAGAAAGATTTGATAATCCTATTTAAAATATGTGTATAATCTCCTGTGCAAAAGGCTACAAGGGAAAAACTATGAAAGTCTCCTCAGGTTTTCCTGGCCTAAGTCAAGTCATGGACAGAGAAGCAGAGTGGGGAACCAGAGCCAGGTGACTGGGGAAACAGATAAACATTTACTAATAGTTAGTAACCAGTCGGTGCTGTTGCTCAAGACACTGCGCGTACTGTCTCGAATATAGGAATAGCTGAAACTAGTTTAGCTTTGTCTGATGAAATGACTGACATTACCCATACCATCATCTTCCATTCTCTCATTTATATTTACATGCCCAGACTCCTTCTCTGCCTCAGACGAGGTGAGCAAGTCTCTCCACAGGCTCCTCTCCATGCTTCTTTTGCTGGCCAGGATCACAACTCACACTCTTTGATCTTTCCTCTCCTGGCTCTATGGCTACTGGACTGGGAGCTGAGTACAGTCACATCCTATCTCTCTAGGACAAACCTCTGCTACTTGGTGTATTACCTGGCGTGTAATGCAGCCCCTCAGTCTTTCTTGCAGTCGGGTACCTGTTCTTACTCTTCTGTGTATCCTAGGCATTTATAACAGTGTCTAGCACAATATGTATTTGCCCAATAAATATTTATTGAATAATCCAATAATGTTTAATGATGTTGGCTCCCAACTTTGGGGAAGAGGGGTAAAGGATGCCCTGCCACTTCTTTCTAGACTGTCTAGGCTCATAAATGAAGGAAAAGAGCCACTTGAAACTGAAAACCCTGAATATGTTCCTGTCCTGTGTTCCTGGCCATTTCCTGTCCAGACAGTGTGTGTACTCAGGACACTGAAAGACAGGTGACTTGGCCAGTGGATAGCAAATACCCCAGTTTAGGGAGGTAAGGCATTTTGAGTGCTGGCCACATTCTGTTTCTTGTGGTGTGGTTTACACGGATGTGCATATACATCCATGAATGATGTATACTTTCACCCATATATTTTATACTTCAATAATTTTTTAAAGCAAATACTCCATTCAAAAACTAATTTGTCCCATAAATATTAAGTTTGTTATGACTTTAAACTAACTCTACCTTTCTTTTAAATCAGAACCCAAAGACTGTAGGGATTACAGAGACTGTGACATCTAACCCCATCCTGACAACACACTTATGTCCATGCCCGTGGTAAGTTAGACAGCAGTACACCTGAAATGGAGGCAAGACCCTGGCAAACGTACTTCACTGACATCAGAAAATCACCATTTCACAATCTCTACCTTAATAAGTAATTATTGGTGAACAGGATATTTACATGGTCTCAATTTTTCTCCCCACAAATTATTTTCTACCTAATAAATCTCCCCACAAAATATTTTCTACACAAATAATACCTACCCAAAGGGGAAGGTACCTTTATAGTGGAGCACAAAGTGAGCAGAATTAACACTGCCAGCGACAGAACAAAATGACAGCATGCAGCTCCTAACAAGAGGCACGGGCAAAGGATACAACTGTGCCTACAGGATATTCCTGCCAAAAATGCACATCCTGAATCCAATTATATAAAAAGGGAAAAATCCAGATTGAGGGACATTCTACAAACAAGTCTACAATTGCCCTCCTCTTCAAGAAGGTCAAGATCACGAAAGACAAAAGTTAGGGAATTATTCCAGGTAAGAGGAGACAAATGATATGACAAATGCAATGTGAAATTCTGGACTGGACCCTGGATTGGGGGAAAAATGCTACAAAGGAAATTATCTGGGCAATTAGCAAAATTTGAATATAAACTATCTATTATATAGTTAATACATAATAATTATATATTACATAGATAATTTTTCCATATTAATGCTAAAATTCCTGAAAGTGATTATGATTATGTAATATCCTTGTTTTTAAGAGATACATACTGGAGTATTTAGGGCTTAAGTATCATAGTGTCCATAAATTATTCCCAAATAGTTAAAAAAATTAAAATTAAAATTAAATAATATACAAAAGAATGAACCAGATGTGGCAAAATGTTAACAACTGGTGAATCTAAGTGAAGGACATACAAGTGTTCACTGTTACTATTCTTGAAAATTCCCATAGGTTGGAAATTTCTACAAATAAACAAATGGTATGAAGAAGAAACTCAATGCCTGACAAGTAGTAATCTATCCTCTCCCAAATCATGGGAAATTCACTACACTGTTCCAGGCAACCCAAGCCATTATTACAATATGCAGGCCCCAAAGTAAACTTCCTGGAACTCCAAGTGGCCCTGGTCTGCTACAAGTAAGATTTTCTCTCCTCCAATATAATAGCTCTTCAGATACAGAAAACTATTTTGTTTGGTCTACCTATGTCTATTTCGGGGGTGTTACATTTCCTGTCTCAACATGCATTACCTATGATATGGTCTCTGGTCTAACTTGGTGGGCTGTTGGATACACTCCCTGCAGTCTGACCCATTTAACATAATAGCCACAAATTATTTTGTATACAGCTATGTAAGGTGATCTCAGAGCTGAATCACTCCAGTTTGTACCTCCATTTCCCAAGTTAGAATCATTTTAGCTGACAAATCATAGTGCCTACAAAGTTAAGTGTTTGCCCTAAATGCATTTTGGTTTTGGGGAGGCCATAGAGCATGTCTTTATAACTGACCCTATGAAATGTCATTTGACAGGCTAACCTAACTAGTTATATATATAACTATACTAGTCTGTCAGAAGAACCTTTTTCAGTTTTCACCTTGTTATAATTAAAATGGTAGGACCAGACCAAAGACAGTACCTCATCCTTTCAATGAGATTATAATGTATTAAAGGACTCCCCAAAATCACATAATACAGACCCCTACAGAAGATATGTGTTGGTTCACTTGTTCATTAAAAATGAGAGGGTTCATTTTAAATGCAAGCAAGTGTTAAGACATCAACCTAAAGATGTCTGAGAAGTACACATTTTTTTAACTAGAAAACAAGATTTT